TTAAGGGAACAAAACAAGTTGCAAAATAATATGTAGTAAGACTCATCTAGATAAACATATATATTATATATATATTTAGATTTAAATTTGGTATATTAATTTATAAAGGCAAAAACAGGCAGGCTCAACTACAGTATTTCAGAATATATACATATATGGTTAAACTGGAAGAAGAGTTTAAAGAAAAACAAGGGAATGAAATAAAATTCCAGATAGTGGTTCCCTCTGGGGAGACATGGGGGTGAGGGGACCCATGGAAGACTTGAAAGGCATCGGTAATTTCCTATTTTTAAAGGCAGATGATTGGTCGATACATACATGGTCATTATACTGTTGGATTTTAAACTGTACATGTGTGTTATATATTCATGTAACTTAAAAAAAGCCCTAGACCGTACTAAGATGACAATATTTCTGGACACACCTATCTTTGCTTCACAGTTCTGACAGAAAGTTCATTTAAACTGAAGCAGATAAATTCCTCTGAAGTAACCAACGATGACAGACTGAAAGACTGCTTTATTGGTAGAAGACTCAGCACAAACATTTAGAATCATTTCCTAAGAGAGAAAAGGTATGTGGCAGAGCAGTAAAATGTCAGAGACATGTTTGGGATATTTCAGAGTAATATAGCCCTATGGGAAATAATACCATTAAGAACTGTGCCATCATTCCTAATTTAAAAATTTTCAGCATCCTGTTTTGTATGTATGTATGTATTTATTTATTTGTTTGTTTGATTTATTTATTTGGAGATCACGTCTTGCTCTGTCGCCCAGGCTGGAGTGCAGTGGTACAACCTCAGCTCACTGCAACCTCCGCCTCCCAGGTTCAAGCAATTCTCCTGCCTCCACCTCCCACGTAGCTGAGATTACAGGCATGTGCCACCACACCCAGCTAATTTTTGTGTTTTCAGTAGAGACGGGGTTTTGCCATATTGTCCAGGCTGTTCTCAAACTTCTGGGCTCAAGCAATCCACCCGTCTCTGCCTCCCAAAGTGCTGGGATTACAGGCCTGAGATACAACACCTGGCCAGTGCCCTGTTTTAAACATAATGTCCACAATTTCTCTGACTATGTATAACCAAAAGCCACTACATCTGTTACATGATGAGAATACAAACAACTATGAATTAGATGATACCTAATTGAGACTGCTAATTAAAACCTGACTTGAAAACCAACTTCCAAACAAGCTAAGAAATAAAAAAGTCTCCTTGATGAAGTGTCCCTTAATTCCCTTCAATGAAGACAAAATCTCTTCATCCAAAAATCGTACATACTTTTCTGTGCCTTTCTACTGGCATTTATTACATTTTATCCTGTATTTTGGTCATCTGCTTTCCTTATCTCCTTTACTAGATTATGAATTACTTGATAGTCTATGATGAGAACATTCTCAGCTCCAGGGCCCCAGAAACATTCATATTCTAGGGTAGCTTACATCTTTGCTCTCATTCAAAAAACAAAAACAAGGCTGGGAGAGGTGGCTCACACCTGTAATCCCAGCACTTTGTGAGGCCAAGGCGGGTGGATCTCCTGAGGTCAGGAGTTCGAGACCAGCCCGAACATCATGGAGAAACCTCGCCTTTACTAAAAATACAAAAATTAGCTGGGTGTTACAGTGTGAGCCTGTAGTCCCAGCTACTCGGAAGGCTGAGGCAGGAGAATCGCTTGAACACAAGAGGCAGAGATTGCAGTGAGCCGAGATCGCGCCACTACACTCCATTCTGGGTGATAGAGTGAGACTCCATCTCAAAAAATAAATAAATAAATAACAAAAAAAAACACCCCGAAGCCCATGAAATCTGAAGTGGGGGGTGGGGCAAGATCAACAAAAAACAATGGCACTTCATTAAATCAAGTAATTCCTGAAATCTAAGAATACTGAATTTTGAATTAAAAGGGCCCTTGCTATTTTTTGTTTAAAACTCGTAACAAATATTTAATATGTTGAACATTAATTTTATTTATTACCTTCTTTTTTTTGAGACAGGGTTTCACTCCCATTCCCCAGGCTGGAGTGCAGTGGCACGAACATGGCTCACCACAAACTCCGCCTCCTGGGCTCAACAGATTCTCCTGCCTCAGCCTCCCAAGTAGCTGGGACTACAGGTGCATGCCACCACACCTGGCTAATTTTTTTTTTTTGTAGTTTTTGTAGATACAGGGTTTCACCATATTGCCCAGGCTGGTCTCGAACACCTGGGTTCAAAGCGATCTGTCTGCCTCAGCCTCCCAAAGTGCTGGGATCACAGGCATGAGCCATTGTGTCTGGCCCTGATTTTATTACCTTCTATCGAGAATAGACAGCTGTCAGGAAAATTATGCTTGGAGGGTAAATAAATGGGAGAAAGCCTTAAGTTTTCAATGACTCTGAAGAAGACAAGGGGATAGAGAGAGAAATGCAAACCAACCACGAGCTAATTAGAAATCTTTATCACCCTACTCCAAACGGATCTGCATATAAATTTGGGTAGTTTTAATACCTAATGTTTTCAAATTACCAGAAAATATTGACCTGCTCAACTGGCATTCTAACCACAGTCCAGTTACTTCTGCACTGGGCTGAATTCTTAGCGCAGTCAGAGAATGCTGATTCCACGCCAGAGGCTCCTGCAGCCTCTACTTTGGCTTTGGTGTGCACGCGTGTCTGCACAGACACCACAGTGAGCACCCAGGGGAGCCTGGGGGCCTCCCCTCTAGCTTTGGTGTGCCTCAATCTGCAGTCACACCACAATGAAAGCTTGCAGTTGAGGCTTTTAGTCTCACTTCCCACATTTCCGTCTAGGTCTATGTAGAGTTTTCTTGACATTTTACTTCCTTTCCTGTACAAAATTCAGTGGGCATTGGTTTTGCTTTGTTTTTGTTTTGAGACTGAGTGTTGCTCTGTCACCCAGGCTGGAGTGCAGTGGTGTGATCTTGGCTCACTGCAACCTCTGCCTCCTGGGGTTCAAGCAATTCTCCTGCCTCAGCCTCCCAAGTACCTGGGATTACAGATGTATGTAAACACATCCAGCTAATTTTTGTATTTTTTTAGTAGAGACAGGGTTTTACCATGTTGGCCGGGCTGGTCTCGAACTCCCAACCTCAGGTGATCCACCTGCCTCAGCCTTCCAAAGTGCTGGAATCACAGGCATGAGCCCCCGTGTCCAGCCGCATTTGCTAAGAATTTTTTTTGAGATAGAGTCTCACTCTGTTGCCCAGGCTGGAATACAATGGCACTCTCTCAGCTCACTGCAACCTCCATCTCCTAGGTTCAAGCAATTCTCTGCTTCAGGCTCCCGAGTAGCCAAGATTACAGGTGCCCACCACGTCTGGCTAATTTTTGTATTTTTAGTAGAGACAAGGTTTCACCATCTTGGCCAGGCTGGTCTTGAACTGACCTCGTGATCCACCCTCCTTGGCCTCCCAAAGTGCTGGGATTACAGGCGTGAGCCACCATGCCTGGCCAGGAATTTTTTAAACAGGAAAAGAAGCTTCCATAGAAAATACCAGAGAAACAATAATAATTTTTAAAAAAACACCTATGAATGTTTATTCTTTAAAAGGGATTGCCAAAAGACACTTGATACTGGTATAGAACTGTCTATTCAAGAGCTAGTTTAAACAGGCTTCAGAGGGACTAATTCCTTTAGAAGCCAGCAGTATAAAAATTATGTTTTTTCTTTTTCTTCTTCTTTTTCTGAGACAGGCCCTCACTCTGTTGCTCAAGCTGGAGCACAGTGGTGCAATCATGGCTCACTGTATGTAGCTGTGACCTTCTGGGCTCAAATGATCCTCCCACCTCAGCCTCCCAAAGTGTGCCACCATGCCTGGCTGACTTTTTTATTTTTTGGAGAGATGGGGTCTCATTGTGTTGCTCAGGCTGATTTCAAACTCCTGGGCTCAAGTGATCCTCCCACTTTGGCCTCCCAAAGTGCTGGGCATGAGTCACTGCACCTGGCCAAAAAATGTGTCTTAAGATTTCACTAGAAGATTATTTATGTAAATAATAAAGAGGGCTTATAATTTATTCTGTTCCAAATCCCAGTTCAAAATTCTAGATTTTAATTCTGACATAGTTATTTATATTTTAAAACTTTTTCAAAACTTGTCAGTGATTTGAAGTATTTTTTAAGACTTGTCAGTGATTTGAAATACTTGTCAGTATTTTTTAAAACTTGTCAGTGATTTGAAGCTCGGTTATTTATTTTCATTGAAAAATGAATTTCCTTTAATATGTGATGTAGAAGGCATGTTAACATAAGAAGTCCAATTCTTTCTTAGCTGGCTGTGCCTCTGAGTAGAGACATGATACCTTATTCTTTACTCATTCTTCCTTATCAGTGGGAGGAAGGGAATGTTCCAGTGAACACAGGCAACATTTAATCAGCTATGTGGCCACTAAAAGAGATGAAAGGTGACAAGTTCTTACAATTACACAATCTCTTCCCTCTGCTGCTCATGTACCAGACAGCACAGAGAACGTGGTCTTTAGCTGGTGGCTAGTCCCCAACATACCTTGGCTCACACCCTCAGCTGAGCTGAGAAGCCTGGGGGATAAACAGAAATGGCAGTGCTAAAGAAAATACAGAGCTTATGATAAGTGAAAAACCAAGGGGAAAAGGCTCACAATTATGTGGAAGAGGCTCTCAATTGTGTCTTTTTCCTGGGAGCACAGTATATTCCCTTTGAACTCAGTTTCAATAAAACTTTTAAATAATAAGCTACACTCGAAGGAAACCATGAATACAATATAATGGAAAATATGGTCTAAGACTGTGGTGGAATGCACTGCATTTTATGGTCACCACTGATTTGGTCCTGTTGATAATAACCAAATGCTCAGAAGTTCTACTGCTCTACCAAGAAAGGTCACCAGAAAATCTGAACTGGAGACATAACTAGAAGCAACTAGAAAAAGCAAGGAAATCAACAGGGTTATTAAGTATTTTATAAAACCCTAGAGAAACCACATATTTAAACCAAAAGGAAGGTAAGGAAAAAGATGCTTCTCACCTTTTGAAAGTTCTTCCACAGATCTTCTATGACGATATATCCTCGTAAACCCCAGTCATATAATCTCTCCCCACTGACCTTGAAACAAAACAGAAAAGATCTTACCATTCGACCCAGCAATCCCTACTACTGGGAATAATAATGGAATAATAGAATATATATCATTCTACTATAAAGAAACATGCATGCATATGTTCAGCATAGCACTATTCATAATAGCAAAGACACAGAATCAACCTAAATGCCCATCAATGGCAGACTTTCTGTTTTCTGAGATGGAGTTTTTGCTCTTGTTGCCCAGGCTAGAGTGCAATGGCGCAATCTTGGCTCACTGCAACCTCCACCTCCTGGGTTCAGGAGATTTTCCTGCCTCAGCCTCCCAAGTAGCTGGGATTACAGGCATGCACCAGCACGCCTGGCTAATTTTTTGCATTTAGTAGGGATGTGGTTTCACCATGTTGGTCAGGCTGGTCTTGAGCTCCTGATTTCAGGTGATCCACCTGCCTTGGTCTCCCAAAGTGCTGGGATTACAGGCATGAGCCACTATACCTTGCCAATGGTAGACTAGATAAAGAAAATGTGGTACTTATATACCACAGAATACTATGCAGCCAAAAAAAGAATGAGCTCATGTCCTTTGCAGGGACAGGGGTGGAGCTGGGGGCCATTATCCTAAGCGAACTAACACAGGAATAGAAAACCAAATGCCACATGTTCTCACTTATAAGTGGGAACTAAACCTTGACAAACACATGGACACAAAGAAGGGAACAGAGACCGAGGCCTACTTGAGTGTAGAGGGTGAGAAGAGGGTGAGGATGGGAAAACCACCTATAGGGTACTAGGCTTATTACCTGGGTAACAAAATAATCTGTACACCAAACCCCCATGACACACAATTTACAGTAACAACCCTGCACACGTACCCCTAAAGCTAAAAGTTAAAAAAGAAGTTTTTTTTAAAAAAAGACTCCTATTCTGGGGATAGCCAATATGCTTCTCAACCAGCAACCAAGTTCACTCTCTTCACTCTAACCATGTACTGCTTTAACCATAACAGGCTGAAATAATGTTTAATTATTTTTATATCTAGGGCAGGAAGATGTTACTCACTGTTCCTGACCTGGGGCTGCAGCAGAGATAGAAGCATTAACCATCTGCCTCCAGGACTGTTACAATGTTGAGCCAATGTTGGAAAGTACTGGCAGTTGTCACTAAAGCCATCAAGCTCCCCAAGCTGCGGCCACTGGACTCCCACATACAACTGTAGCCCAATCGAGGAATCTGGACTCAGTTCTGTCATGAGCAACTGAGGGAGCTCAGTCTCAGCTCAGTCTGGCTCAGAGCTCAATCAGTTCAGGTGACTGCACTGCTGTCTGCTCCTGGAACCGAGTTTCCGTGTGATGTGGTGGTTCTAGCAACTGAAGTCCCTGTGTCCATAATCTGCCCAGGACCTCAAAACCTAGAGCCTGCCTTGCTCTTGCCAGTTTTCCAAGGGACACTATCTCTAGAGTCCCATTCACTCCAGACATCACCTTTAACAGGCTACCTGCTGGTCTCCATCAGTGGCTCTTAAACACCATAGGCATTAATAAAAAACCACCAGAGGGCTTGCTAAAACATGGACTACTGGCCCTTACTGCCAGAGCTTCAGATTCAGTCAGTCTGGGGTGGGGCCTGAGAGTTTGCATTTCTACCAAGTTCTCAGGTCGTGCTGCTGCTTCTGGTCTGGTAACACACTTCGAGAATCGATGGTACAGCTTTATCCATGTTGCCTGCCACCGTGATCCACCTACCTGTCAGGGTACCATAAAACTGAGGATTCAAGGGTAAGAAAGGAGCAGCCTATTGAAAGCCCCAAGAAGGGCACTCCCAGCAGAGGGTACTACAGTCCCCAAAGTCCCCAACAATGAAAGCAAAGGTACCAGTACCAGGGAAGTGTGGAGGTCAGAGCAGTCTGTGTCTACAATGCCAACAAGAGCAGGTTGTGACCGGATACATAATTATCTAAACGGAGTGACCCTTAATTATCAGCTTTGGAATTTGAGTCTCTAGACTTCCATGTAAGTATACCAAAAAAGTATTTTAAATTTTTGCTAATGAATATTCAAACAATCATGCAAATTCATGTTCAAATTCTGTGAATACTGGCATTATTGGAAAAAGGGCCAGAACTGAGGCATGTAGTGGAAAAAATCAGTTAAATTTGCTGTAGTTCATCTGTATGTACAAACAAATTTTAGTCTGGTGTTATAAGAACTGCAAAGTAAAATAAAATTAAGCATCAAATTCATACACGCACAAACAAGAATGAGGGACACCATGGATTACACAGTTTATCTTACCTGGGCAAACACGATGGCTTGTTGTGGATAATAGAGGGAGGCAGCTAATCCCATGAAACCAGGCGGATACACTAGCTTCTTTATTTTTGAACCTAATAAATAAAAGGTTGTACACACCATCAGATGATTCATTAACCTATCACAATTTACCTTATCCATTTAACAATGAACAAGGCCAGGCATAGTGGCTCATGCCTGTAATCCCAAAGCTTTGGGAGGCTGAGGCGGGAGGCTCACTTGAGGCCAGGGGTTTGAATCCAGCCTGGGCAACACAGTGAAATCTTGTCTCTACAAAAATTTAAAAAAAAAAAAAAAATTAGCCAGGCATGGTAGTGTGTACTTATAGTCCCAGCTACATGGGAGGCTTAGGTGGGAGGATTCCTTGAGCCCAGGAGTTCCAGGTTACAATGACCTATGATCACACCTCTGCACTCCAGCCTAGGTAACAGAGCAAGACTGTGTCTCTTAAGAAACCCAAATAACTTGATTAGCAGTAACCTCTAAAAAGAAAATGAAAAAAAAAAAAAGAAACCCAAATAAGAAAACGAAAATAACCCCACCACTGAATAAGATTTCTTTGGTCCTAAACTAAGAGAATGTGCCTAATAAAGTCATGTGAACCAAAAAACTTTTGCACGGCTTTATTGAGATATAATTCACATTTACCCATTTAAAGTATAGTTCAAAGCCAGGAGCAGTGGCTCACGCTTGTAATCCCAGCACTTTGGGAGGCTGAGCGGGGCAGATCATGAGGTCAGGATTTCGAGACCATCCTGGCCAAACATGGTGAAACCCCCATCTCTACTAAACATATAAAAATTAGCCAGCCGTGGTGGCAGGTGCCTGTAATCCGAGCTACTTGGGAGGCTGAGACAGGAGAATCTCTTGAACCTGGAAAGCAGAGGATGCAGTGAGCCAAGATTGTACCATTGCACTCCAGTCTGGGCAACAAGAGCAAGCAAAACTCTATCTCAAAAATTAGAAAAAAGGACAGTTCAATGGCTTTTAGTATATTGTATTTTTCCTTTTTTGTTGTTGTTTAAAGAAGGTCTCATTTGGTCTCCCAGGCTGGAGTGCAGTGGCACAATCATGGAGTGCATGGCACAATTCAATGGCTTTTAGTATATTGACAGAGGTGTATAACCATCATTACAATTAATTTTACAAAAGTAATTGAGAGTTTAAAGAAAAAAAGACAAAAAAAGAAAATTAATTTTAGAACTTTTTCATAATCACCAAAGAAACCCATTAGTAGTCACTCTTCAACTCCCCCATACCGTCCAGTCCTAGGCAACCACTAATCTATTTTCTTTCTTTTTTTTTTTGAGATGGAGTTTTGTTCTTGTTGCCCAGGCTGGGGTGGCACGTTCTCGGCTCACTGCAACCTCCGCCTCCCGGGCTCAAGCAACTCTCCTGCATCAGCCTCCTGAATAACTGGGACTACAGGCGTCCGCCACCACACCCAGCTAATTTTTGTATTTTTAGTAGAGATGGGGTTTCACAATGTTGGCCAGGATGGTCTCGATCTCCTGACCTTGTGATCTGCCCGCCTCAGCCTACCAAAGTGCTGGGATTACAGGCGTGAACCACCATGCCTGGCCACCACTAATCTATTTTTTTTTTTATTTTTTTATTTTTTTTCGGGGTAGGGTTTCACTCTTGTTGTCCAGGCTGGAGTGCAGTGGCATGATCTCGGCTCACTGCAACCTCTGCCTTCCGATTTCAAGCGATTCTCCTGTCTCAGCCTCCTAAGTAGCTGGGATTACAGGTGCCCACTACCACGCCTGGCTAATCTTTGTATTTTTTTAGTAGAGACGGTGTTTCACCCTGCTCGCCAGTGTAGTCTTGAACTCCTGACCTCGTGATCTGCCTACCTTGGCCTCCCAAAGTGCTGGGATTACAGGTGTGAGCCACTGCAACCGATACCACTAATCTACTTTCCATCTCTATGTGTTTGCCTACTCTGGACATTTCTTTTTTTTTTTTCCTTTTTGAGATGGAGTTTTGCTCTTGTTGCCCAGGCTGGAGTATAATGGCACAATCTCGGCTAACTGCAACCTCTGCCTCTCGGGTTCAGACAATTCTGCCTCAGCCTCCCGAGTAGCTGGGATTACAGGCGCACGCCACCATGCCTGGCTAATTTTGTACTTTTAGTTGAGATGGGGTTTTGCCATGTTGACCAGGCTGGTCTCAAACTTCTGACCTCAGGTGGTCCACCTGCCTTGGCCTCCCAAAGTGCTGGGATTACAGACATGAGCCAATGCGCCCAGCTCTCTGGACATTTCATAAAAATGGAATCATTTAGTAAATATGTGGTCCTTTGTTTCACATTCTTCTTTCACTCAGCACCAAGTGTTTTCAAGAGAACCACCTTTTTCCCCCAAGAAAGCAGAAAAACAGATTGTTTTAAATATAAACAAATCAGTATTTTGGTTTCTAGGGTTTATGTTCTTTAACAGCAATCTGGCTTCCTATTTAAATACTAAACACAGGCGTTCCTCTTCTCCTCTTTCTGCAACCCCATTAAAACAACAGTGAGAAAAAACATTAATAAACCCGCCATAAAGAGAAAATGTGTGGAGAGGCAACTGGCAGACAGGAAGCGTCAATCAATTTTCAGAAAATGGAGAGTGAACGGAAATGAGAGGACACACTGCTTTGAAATCTTGAAATCTTGAGGAGGAGCTGCGGCCTCAGAGGGAGCAGATCTGTCGCAGGGACACTCCAGATCCAGAGATGGCAGGTACTGTGGGGAATGGAGATGGCAACCAGGGAGCAAGACGGGGGACAGGACAAATGCAAGTCCGATGCATGGACCAGCACGGCCCTTCCTTCCCCTCTGCCATCCCAGTACAAAACTACCCATGGCCAGAAAGTCACACCAGGCCAAAATGTTAAAAAGGGGCAGGGTTACTGGGTGCAGTGGCTCACACCTGTAATCTTAGCACTCTGGGAGACCAAGGCATAAAGATTGTTTGAGGCCAGGAACTGAAACCAGCTGGAGCAACAGAGCGAGACTCCGTCTCCATTTCTTTTTTTGTTGTTGTTGAGAGAGGGTCTCACTTGGTCTCTCAGGCTGGAGCGCAGTGGCACAAGCATGGCTCACTGCAGCCTCAACATCCCAGTTTATGCTATCTTCCTGCCTAAGCTCCTCAAGTAGGTGAGACTAGAGGACCAAGCCACAATGCCTAACTTTTTTTTTTTTTTTTGTATTTAGTTAGAGACAGGGTTTGCTTATGTTGCCCAGGCTGGTCTTGAACTCCTGAACTCAAGCAATCCTCCCTCCTCAGCCTCTCAAACTGCTGTCTGTGATTACAGGCATGAGCCAGTGCACCCAGCCTACCCTCTCTATTTCCTTTTTTTTTTTTTTTTAAAGTGAGTCGGATGCAGGGGCTCACACCTGTAATCCCAGCACTTTGGGAGACTGAGGAGGGAGGATTGATTGAGCCCAGAGGTTTGAGACCAGTCTGGGCAACATAGGGAGACCACATCTCTACAAAAAATTAAAAAATCAGTCAGGTATGGTGGCATGCACCTGTGGTCCTAGCTACTCAGGAGGCTGAGGCAGAAGGGTCGCTTGAGCCCAGGAGTTCAAGGCTCAAGGTTACTGTGAGCCATGTTTATGCCACTGCACTCCAACCTGGGTGATATAGTTTGTATGTTGCTCTCTCTGAATCTCATGTTAAACTGTAATCCCCACTGTTGCAGGTAGGACCTGGTGCGAGGTGACTGGATCATGAAGGTGGATTTCTCACAAATGGTTTAATGCCATTCCCTTGGTGCTGTCCCTGTCCAACAGTGAGTTCTCTCAAGAGAAGAGAAGAGAAAGAGGAGGGGAGGGGAAGGAAGGGGAGGGGAGGGAGGAGGGGAGAGAGAGAGGGGAGAGGGGGGAGGCGGAGGGGAGGGGGAGGGGAGGTGGAGGGGGAGGGGGGAGGTGTTGTCCCTGTCCAACAGTGAGTTCTCTCAAGAGAAGAGAAAGAGGAGGGGAGGGGAAGGGAATAAGGAGGGGAGGAAAAGATACCTTCCTTCAGCTGGATGCTGCAAGCTACCATATTGTTCAGGCAAGGAATGAAAACACCTATATCCAAGGCCCGGCATGGCGGCTCATGCCTGTAATCCCAGCACTATGGGAGGCTGAGACAGATGCATCATTGGAGGTCAGGCATTCAAGACCAGCCTGGCCAATATGGCAAAACCCTGTCTCTACTAAAAATACAAAAATTAGCCAGGCGTGGTGGTACATGCCTGTAACCCCAGCTATTCAGGAGGCTAAGGCATGAGAATCGCTTGAACCCAGAGGTGGAGGAGGTTGCAGTGAGCAGAGCTCATGCCACTGCGCTCCAGTCTGGGTGACAGAGCAAGACTGTCTCAAAAAAGAAAAAGAAAAAGAAATGACCTCTATCTAGTCACAGCACCACAGAAATTCAGAACACTGAAGATTCACAGAAGATCCTCAAAGCATCTAGGAAGAAAAAAAAAAATGTATCACCTGTTCAGAAGCAGTAAATATCGAGACTGGCTATTTATTTATTTATTTTTTGAGATTGAGTCTCGCTCTGTCGCCAAGGCTGAAGTGCAGTGGCATGATCTTGGCTCACTGCAACCTCTGCCTCCCAGGTTCAAGCAATTATCCTGTCTCAGCCTCCTGGGTAGCTGGGACTACAGGTGCCCGCCACCACACCCGGCTAATTTTTGTATTTTCAGTAGAGACAGGGTTTCACCATATTGGTCAGGCTGGTCTTGAACTCCTGACCTCAGGTAATCCGTCCCCACCTGGCCTCCCAAAGTGCTGGGATTACAGGCATGAGCCACCATGCCCGGCCCAGACTGGCTACTGACACTCACATCTACAATGCCAGGTGCTAGAATATATGGCTTTGAAAGTTTTGATGGCAAGCAAATTCAGTGCCCAACCAAAGTATCACATGCTATGAGGGCCAGAAAGGGATTTTCAGACATGGAAGGTCTTGGGAAGTTTACCTCCAACATACGCTTTTTTGAAAGCGACTTCAGCATATGGTTCAACAGCACGGCAGACTAAACCAAGGAGAAGATGACATGGAACCCAGGAAAAGGGGGCTTAAACCCAAGAAAGTGTGGAGAAGACCAGTCCCAAAACAAGAGCTGTGTTGAAGTCTCAGGCCAGACTGTAGGAGGATATAGAGCTGTGGGGTAAGGGGAATGGACAGAAGAGAGCAGGATGCAGAGCTTGGAGAAACCTGAGAATGAGGTTTAAAAACCAGTAGAGGATGAAACTAGAGAATACATATGGACTTGACTCCACTGAGAGGCATAGTGTTTTTGCCATGGGACCCACATAGATGATAGCAAAACGTGTATGTTACTGATTTTTCTTTAATGGAGTTTCACTCTTGCTCCCCAGGCTGGAATGCCATGGTGCGATCTTGGCTCACTGCAACCTCCGCCTCCTGGGTTCAAGCAATTCTCCTGCCTCTAGGATTACAGGCATGCGCCACCATGCCTGGCTAATTTTTAGTAGAGATGAGGTTTCATTATGTTGGTCAGTCTGGTCTTGAACTCCTTACCTCAGGTGATCCACCCACTTCAGCCTCCCAAAGTGCTGGGATTACAGGAGTGAGCCATCATACCCGGCCAATTTTTTTTTTTTTTTTGAGACGGAGTCTCGCTCTGTTGCTCAGGCTTGAGTGCAGTGGTACGATCTCAGCTTGCTGCAACCTCCAGGGTTCAAGTGATTTTCCTGCTTCAGTCTCCCGAGTAGCTGGGATTACAGGCGCCCGCCACCATGCCTGGCTAATTTTTGTATTTTTATTAGAGACGGGGTTTCACCATGTTGGCTAGGCTGGTATTGAACTCCTGACCTCAGGTGATCCTCCCGCCTCGGCCTTCCAAAGTGCTGGGATTACAAGCGTAAGCCACTGAGCCCCACCAGAATGTGTATGTTAATCCTTAAACAGTTCTAATCATGTAAGTGCTGTTTATTGGCTTTAAAACTTTAAACAGACAAATCCCCAAAGATGGAGCTGGGGTTGCTGAAGAGAATACAAATGTTATCAACCTAGAGTATTAATGAATTACTGTTTCTCTCCCGATCCTGTTGCATGAATTGAAAGGGTATAATTATCCTAGAAAAGCCTGTGATACCCCTGCATATTGCCCCTCCCCCACCACATCCACTTGAAGCAGCTCAACCAAGTGAGGACCAAGGGAAGAGCAGCAACCTGCCACCCAAGTCATTTCTCACTCCTCCAGGGAGAGCCAAGAAGCAGCAGCTCTCGGGCCTCCAGCTCCTGCTGGTTCACACAATGAGCCAGGGACTCCAGAACTTCAGGAAGGTGGTATAATCATACTCCTCCACCCCTACCTTCATGCCCACATCTCCTAAGAGGCCAATGGTATGGGTTGTCACTATCAGCACTGCCAGGGGCAGGGGGGAACCACTGGTTGCCAATGCTGGGGAGAGCCACCAGAAGGCAACTGTAGTGTCAACAACCACGTGTCAACTTGGAGTGGTCTGGCTCAGCCCATTTCCTCTGAATGGACATCCACTCACCTCTCCGAGAGCCCCTTGTCACCAGCACAGTCATGGCCATCCTCATCAACTGAAGCAGACTATCTTAGCAGATACACTCAAGAAATCCCACCAGGCTAGGCGCGGCGGCTTATACCTATAATCCCAGCACACTAGGAGGCCGAGGCAGGAGGATCATTTGATTTCAGGAGCTCGAGACCAGCCTGGCCAACATGGTGAAACCCCTTCTCTACTAAAAATACAAAAATTAGCTGGGCGTGGCAGCACATCCCTGTAGTCCCAGCTACTCAGGAGGCTAAGGCAGGAGAATCACTTGAACCCAAGAGGCAGTGTTGCAGTGAGACTGAGATCATGCCACTGCACTCCAGCCTGGACAACAGAGCAAGATTGTCTTAAAAAAAAAACAGAAAAGAAAAGAAAGAAAGAAAGAAACCCCAACAGGAGGGACCTTCTGCACCCACCCATCATGCTGCTGCCCTCATAAGGGACCATCTACCTGGAGGGACCTGCAAACCACTCTGGCTACCCACAGACATCCCTATCATCCCACTCATCCTGCTTGGTGAACTCTCTGACACTGCTCACCTCAGGCCTTTCTATACCCATTGCCCAGGGGAAAAGACCTGCTATTGCATATGTGTGTGCGTATGCCTGTGTGCATATTTGTGAAAAAGAATTAAAGTCTCAAATTATTTTAATACTACTAAGCTCTCCCCAGGAAAAGGAAGAAGAGACAAAGAAACAAACAAAATCAGAGGACCAGAATCTACTGTAGCAGGTGTCCTCATGCTGCTGCTCTGGGCAAGAGGGCATGGTCTCCAATCCTCCTTAGGATGGTCACCCTAGTGGATATGCCAGGGACAAACTCTTGGCATTGTAGGAACGTACCCATAACAGAGAAAAAGAGGTTTCTTTGGACCTGGAAGACTTCCCCACATGCTCTAACCATGGTGAGGGAGGGGGAAGCTCCTTTCACTCACTTCCACGTTCTTACCTCTCTAACAACAGCCGAAATCCCAACACTCTGGCCTAGGGATGTCCAACAATCTCAAACACTATCTAAATAAGACTGAATGCTCTTTTGAACAGCTTTGCAAGAAATGAGATGAAAGAAGTTTGGGGAAAAATGTTGGTTCATAAGTTGATTACAAAAAATAAGCTGGAAATTTAATTCTGACACATTCTGCATGAGACGGGAGGAGGGCATGAAGACTATGACATGAGTTGCTTCCACAGATGAGCTGGTAGTGCCACCAGGGCAGTGTCTACCCTCCAGATTTAAAAATAACAGCCACTGGCCAGGCGCAGGGGCTCATGCCTATAATCCCAGCACTTTGGGGAGCACCAAGGGAGGTCAGTGGCTTGAGTTAAGGAGTTCAAGACCAGCCTGGGCAACATAGCGAAACCCCGTCTCTACTAAAAATACAAAAATTAACTGGACATGGTGGCGGGCGCCTGTAATCCCAGCTCCTTGAAAGGCTGAGGTGGGTGGATCACTTGTGCCCAGGAGATCCAGGCTGCAGTGAGCTATGATTGCACCACTGTACTCTAGTCTGGGTGGTAGAGTGAGACCCTGTCTCAAAAAAGAAACCAATTTAAAAAAATAAAATAGGGCCGGGCGCAGTGACATACACCTGTAATCCCAGCACTTTGGGAGGCCAAAGAAGGCTGATCACTTCAGGTCAGGAGCTGGAGACCAGCCTGGCCAATATGGCAAAACCCATCTCTACTAAAAATATAAAAATTAGTTGGGCGTGGTAGTGTACACCGATAATCCCGGCTACTCGGGAAGCTGAGGCAGGAGAATCACTTGAACCCAGGAGGCGGAGGGTGCAGTGAGCCAAGATTTCACCCCTGCACTCCAGCCTGGGCAACAGAGCAAGGCTCTATCTCAAAAAAAAAATAATAAAATGAATAAAATAAAATAACAGCTATTGCATGTAGACAGAAGATTTTTTAAATTGGAGGAATAGGACTGATATAGTTTGAATGCTTGCCCCTCTAAATCTCATGTGGAAAAGTGACACCCCATGCTAGGAGGTATTTGGGTCATGGGGGCAGATCCCTCCTGAATGGCATGGTGCCCTCCCTATGGTAATGGGTGATTTCTCAGTCTATTAGTTCACACGAGAGCTGGCTGTTTAAAAGAGCCTGGCATCTCTCTCCATGTGACACACCTGCTCCCCCTTTGCCTTCTAACACAACTGGACGCTTTCTGAGGCCCTCAACAGAAACAGATGCTGGCTCCATGCTTCTTGTACAGCGTGCAGAACCATAAGCCAAATAGACCTCTTTTCTTTATAATTACCCAGCCTCAGATATTCCTTCATAGCAATGCAAAAAAAACTAATAAAGGGACCAAACTAGTCTCTATAGTTCTCTTTTATGGGGGTCTGATTACAGGGTTCATAAACTTTCTTCATTAGGAATGACAGAAAGGTCAGAATTTTATATCATAAACAATTAGTTTCCAAGCAGTGAAATTTCAAGTAGTTCCTAACAAATTAATCTCATCATAGTGAAGTATTTTATCAGCCTTTATTTCCTATAGATACTTTATAATCTAGCAGTGTAGTAATATTTTTAAGCTGGCATTTGTTAGCATTGAATTTTAAGCATTTTAAAAGTTTTTATGTCATGACTGACTGAAGCCATGACAAATCAAGAAGGTAATAAAATCTCTATTAAATCACTGTTCTATTTACTGTGATGAATAGCCTGATCTTAATAGTGAAACCTTTAGAAACAGTTTATTTCTCAGGTGTGAAAGACTTTGAACAAAATTTCACTCTTTCTGTACCAAAGAACAATAGGGGTTTGATCAAGTAAATGTGCCTATAAAGGATAACTAATTTCTTTTTTCTTTTTTTTTTTTTTTGAGAAGGAGTCTAGCTGTCTGTTGCCCAGGCTGGAGTACAGTGGCATGATCATTGCTCACTGCAACCTCTGCCTCCCGGGTTCAAGCGATTCTCCTGCCTCAGCCTCCCAAGTAGCTGGGATTACAGGCATGTACCACCATGCCCAGCTACTTTTTGTCTTTTTAGTAGAGATGGGGTTTCACCATGTTGGTAAGGCTGGTCTCGTACTTCTGACCTCGTGATCTGCCTGCCTTGGCCTCCCAAAGAGCTAGGATTACAGGTGTGAGCCACTGCGCCCAGCCTTTTTTTTTTTTTTTTAAACCAAGAGTATACAATTTCTATTTATGTTTAAAATCAAATATAATAACCATATCAATTATATGTTAAGAAAGCCATATTTAGGAACCAACTCATTATTCTGAAACCTGGTAAATGAAAGAAAGAAACATATATTCTATCTCTGCTTTATGAGCTATTAAACCCACAAAACTGCACCTACCTCTAGCCAAAAAGAGTCCAATAAGGCCAGCAAAACCAATAACACCAAGTCTCGGAAAAAATCCAGGAGGTGCATTTTGGAGATAGTCATAGCTGTCTACAATAGAATTAGAACAGGAAGCAGTTCCATAAATTTCTCATTAAAAAAACAAAAAGTCTTATACAGTATATAATTTGCATATATCATATTAAAGTGCTTTTCAAACCACATACTCTGCATTCTGCTAGTATACTTCTTTTCAACATACTGTTTTTGTGTGACATATAAACAAGATTTACTATTCACATAGCAAGTGTTCAATTTTCTTTTCTTTTCCTTTTTTTTTTTGAGATGGAGTTTCGCTCTTATCACCCAGGCTGGAGTGCAATGGCATGATCTTGGCTCACTACAACCTCTGCCTCCCCGGTTCAAGTGATTTTCCTGCCTCAGCCTCCCAAGTAGCTGGGATTGCAAGTGCCCGTCACCATGCCCAGCTAATTTTTGTAATTTTAGTAGAGACTGGGTTTCACCTTGTTGCTTAGGGTAGTCTTGAACTCCTGACCTCAGGTGATCCACCCACCTCAGCCTCCCAAAGTGCTGAGATTACAGGTGTGAGCCACCATGCCCAGCGTCAAGTGTCCAATTTTCAAACACTTTTGGTCCAACAACCTACTGACAATGAATTAATATTAAATTACTTTCATATTCCTGAAAGCAATATGAAATCTGAATCAGCAATTTGCATAGAGAGGAATACAAATACAGGGATCCTTCGCTATCTAAACTCTTGTTATGGAAACACAAAAACAGAATTGATTTGGACAAATCTTTGGGCAGATCTATTGCTATCTGAAGCTTTGCTGCTTCCTCTCTGAAACTGAGGAACCAAATACAGGCTGTGAGTGGTGGCTCATTCCTATAAACTCAGCACTTTTCAAGACTGAGGCAGGAGGATCACTTGAGCCCAGGAGTTCAAGGCTGTGGTGAGCTACGATCACGCCACTGCACTCCAGCCTGATAGCCTGAGCCACAGAGCAAGACACAGCCTCTTAAAAAAAAAAAAAAAAAAAAAAAGGCCAGGCATGGTGGCTCACACCTGTAATCCCAGCACTTTGGGCAGTCGAAGTAGGCGGATCAAGAGGTCAGGAGTTTGAGAACAGCCTGACCAACATGGTGAAACCCCATCTCTACTTAAAATACAAAAAAAAAAATTAGCCAGGCATGGTGGCGCACGCCTGTAATCCCAGCTACTCAGGAGGCTAAGACAGGAGAACAGCTTAAACCTGGGAAGCGGAGGTTGCAGTGAGCCAAGATTGCGCCACTGCACTCCAGCCTGGGCAACAGAATGAGACTCTGTCTCAAAAAAAAAAAAAAAAAAAAAAAAAAAACAAGAAATCAGACTCAGAAAAGTAAGTATCATTTGCCATTTGAACTTATTATTCAGTGCTCGCTTCGGCAGCACATATACTGAACTTATTATTCGAACTCAAGAAAAGAATAAATTTGTATAATAAAGGAAACTTATAAGTTCACTCAGGAAATAGCCACTGTTGACCACCATTGATGGTGATAGAATCAATAAAAATATGAGCCTATGCACCACGCCTGAACATGCCTTCTGACTTCATTCATATGATGTCTCCTCTCCTCTCCATGGAGCCAATCTCACCTCTTAAAAGCCAGTTTGAGTCCCATCTCCACAGAAAAGCCTTTCCTAAGCTCATCAGTCCATACCTCTCTCCCTCCTCTAAAGTCCCATCATATTTACTCTCTGTACCATTACTTGGTACCTAATCCTATAGTACCCTGTGCTTAATTATTCAGATATGTATCTGGTGTCTCCCCAGGGAGAACATAAGCTGCTTAACAATGGATTGCTTACACTTCTGTGTTATCTTCTCTCAGTGGTAATAATGGATACTCATTCAATAGATATTTTTTTTTTTTTTGAGACAGAGTCTGTCTCTGTCGCTAAGGCTGGAGTGTAGTGACATGATCTCAGCTCACTGCAACCTCCACCTCCCAGGTTCAAGCAATTCTCCTGCCTCAGCCTCCCGAACAGCTGGGACTACAGGCTCATGCCACCACACCCAGCTAATTTTTTCTATTTTTTGTAGAGATGAGGTTTCACCATGTTAGCCAGGATGGTCTTGATCTCCTGACCTTGTGATCCGCCTGCCTTGGCCTCCCAAAGTGCTGGGATTATAGGTGTGAGCTACCGTGCCTGGCCTCAATAGATAATTATTAAGAATGATGGCCAGATGTGGTGGCTCATACTTGTAATCCCAGCACTTTGGGAGGCCCAGGTGGGAGGACTTGCTTGAGCCCAGGAGTTCAAGACCAGCCTGGGCAACGTGGCAAAACCCTGTCTCGACAACAACAACAACAAAATTAGACAGGTGTGGTGGTGCATATCTGTAGTCCCAGCTACTTGGGAGGCTAAGGTGGGAGGATTGCTTGAGTTCAGGAGGTCAAGGCTGCAGTGAGCTATGATCACGCTACTACACTCCAGCCTAGGTGACTGAGTGAGACCTTGTCTCCAAAGAAAAACAAAAACAAAACAAAAATCACAATGCCAGAAGTTAATGAATACTGGATGAATTAACAAATGAGTTTTAGCTAGATCATGACTTAAATAAGGCCTTCATGTCTCCTTCTCAGTCTCATCTTCAGCACTCCGTATCTGCTTAGGGTTCCTCGAACTCCCAATACCAAGTCATACCTCTAAGCCTGGTCACGCTGTGCCCAGTGTGGAATGCCTGCCTCCAGCAGTCCCTCCAGCAGTGTTGTGGCTAACACTGCTCCTTGAAGATTCATTTCAGAAATCCTTCCCTGACTGCTCTCACCTCCTCAATTTCTATTAAACTAATCTCCTTCCTCTGTACCTTCAATAATGGTCTGTGATCATCTCTGTATTTGCACTAGTATTGAATAATGTATTACACGCATCTCAGTGGTTGTGACCACTGTCTTAACCAACCACAACTTCCAAGGTCTGGCAGAATGATGACTTAAAAAACACACGCAGAACTGAACTAATAAACTGGAAAACTCAGTAATTCTGTCCCCTAATACTAGATACATGCCAGTTTTCCTTTTCCTCGGTTCTTTGGGAAATACGATCATTTTAAATACTACTATAGGACTTGTGTTGTGTTTCCATTAATTACTGTCTGGTCTCTTACTTATTTTGCCTTTAGCCTAGTTTTTACTTTCCATTCTCTAGTCTGGGTCATTTGAGGCCATTTTTTACTTCCCTTTATTTTTGCCTACTAACCCAGTGTTGCTCAATTCTAGATGTGTACACAGAGCAGTTGACAGAGGAACACCCAGATGGCTCTGGTGGGCTGGGCCAAAGTGGATAAATCACAAAGAAAGGGGAAAGAAGACATGTTTTAAGACCGCACAGAGTCTGGGCAACCAAGTGAGATCCTGTCTCTACAAAAAATAGATAAAATTATTTGGGTGTGATGGTGCATGCTTGTAATTCCAGCTACACAGGAAGCTGAGCTGGGAGGATTGCGTGATCCCAGGAGGTCGAGGCTGCAGTGAGCTATGATCACGCCACTGCACTCCAGCCTAGATGACAGAGCAAGATCCTGTCTCAGAAAAGTTTAAACAAGAGACCTCTCAGCCACACATGTACAGATAAAAGACTATATCACGAGTTCTCTAGTTTCCTCATATAAAAATGAAGTTAATAAAGGATCTGTCAGGGTTGTTATGAGGATTAAATTTATATATATATATATATATATATTTCAAATTTTTGTGGGTACATAGTAGGTATATATTTATGGGGTAAACGAGGCATTTTGATTCAGGCATATAATGCAGAATAATCACATCAGGGTAAATGAGTATAAAGTATTTATCATTTTTATGTTACAAGCATCTCAATTGTACTCTTTTAGTTTATTCACAATAACTATAAGAGTATAACTTTAGTTATTTGAAATGTACAATAAATAGGCCAGCATGGTGGCTCACGCCTGTAATCCCAACACTTTGGGAGGCCAAGGTGGGTAGATAACCGAAGGTCAGAAGTTCGAGACCAGTATAATAAATATGGTGAAACCCCATCTCTACTAAAAATACAAAACATTAGGCAGGCGTGGTGGTATATGCCTATAGTCTCAGCTACTTGGGAGTCTGAGACAGGAGAATTGCTTGAACCTAGGAGGCAGAAGCTGCAGTGAGCCAAGATTGTGCCACTGCACTCCAGCCTGGGCAACAGAGCAAGAATCCATCTCAAAAAAATAAAAATAAATAAAAAATAAAATGTACAGTAAAGTACTGTTGACTGCAGTCACCCTATTGTGCTACCAAATACTAGATCTTATTCATTCTAACTATATTTTTGTACTCATTAACCATTCTCACTCCACCCCCAATAAATTGGTATTTTTAAAGCACTTAGAATAGTACCTGACGTTTACGTCTTAAATAAGTGTTTATGAAATTAATAAAATGAAGATGTTACTTATTAACATGACTTAATAATTTAAAGAACCAGTAGGGGGCTGAGAATGGTGGCTCACGTGAAGTCAGGAGTTCGAGACCAGCCTGGCCAGCATGGTGAAACCCTGACTCTACTAAAAATACAAAAAATTAGCTGGGCATGGTGGCACATGCCTGTAGTCCCAGCTACTTGGGAGGCTGAGGCAGGAGAATTGCTTGAACCCAGCAGGTGGAGGTTGCAGTGAGCTGAGATCATGCCACTGCACTCCAGCCTGGGCAACAGAGTGAGACTCTGTCTTTTTGTTAGTAAATCAAAAAAAAAAAAAGGCCAGGCAAGGTGGCTCACACCTGTAATCCTTGCAGTTTGGCAGGCCGAGGTGGGTGGATCACCTGAGGTCAGGAGTTTGAGACCAGCCTGGCCAACATGATGAAAACCTGTCTCTACTAAAAATTTAAAAAATTAGCTGGGCGTGGTGACACATGCCTGCAGTCCCAACTACTCGGGAGGCTGAGGCAGAAGAATCACTTGAACCCAGGAAGCAGAGGTTGCAGTGAGCTGAGATTGCGCCACTGCACTCCAGCCTGGCCAACAAGAGCAAAACTCTATCTCAAAAAAAAAAAAAAAAAAAAAAAAAAAAACCAGTAGGCAACTATTACTATATCTGTCTTCAAATGATAAATTTATCTGATAGTCTCAGAAAGATTAGGACATCAACACAGTATGATGATCCTAGCAAATAAACTGTACTGATGTTTATTTTGTTTCATCATGGAAACAAACCCTTGTAAAAACAAGATTTTGTTTCTGAGATGCCCAATGAGGGGACTGAAATATGATCAACATCTTTATTTATTTACCAGTTCCTGCTTGAGATCAGTCAGAACATAGACTGTGAATCCAGTTTGTGAGTGTATGTGATAAATGGCCCACAAGTGAAAAACAATCAAGGAAAATAAAACCAAATGTAAAAAAATGTAAGAACACTATCAATTATGCAATAAGACCTTTCCCAGGCATATTAGCTCAGCTCTTTCCTGCTTCAAAACTTCTATAGCATCTATTCACTGCAGTGCAAATGAGCTATTCCAATTCTGAAAATCTATTGGTGAATTAGTATGGTGTATTACACTGCGCCTGGAAATGAGTTTTTTTTTTTTTTCTTTTTGCAAACTTCCTCTTCAATGAGTTGTTTTTTTTAAAGCAGTGTATATACTTGCTAGCCCAAGAATCCTAACGATCTTGAAGAGACTTACCTATTTGGGGATACTAGTTGCCTGAAATCTGATGAAAACAACAGCTCCTCTTCCCAGAAAAATCCACAAAGCTCTAAAATTTTGCATATAATTTTAAGGAATCTACAGATTTCTTGGAGCTCATTCATAGAACTCCGATTAAATAAAGAGTTCAATGTTAATGAAGTAGCTGATTATGCCTAATTAAAAATCAACTTACCTAACCCCCATTGAACCAAACTTTGCATCTTGGGCTTAGTTTGGGAGTACGTTTCCTAAAAAGGTAAAAAGAAACTGAATGAAACTATTCACAGGATCCGCTGATTAGAAAGTTAACAGAATAAATATATTTGTCTTTACTGAATAAATTATCATATTATTAACGCTTTTTCAACAAAGAGATACACTGTCTATCTGGGTCTTTTTGTCTGTTTTTTCTACTGTAATCTTCCTTTCATTGCAAATTACTCAGCAGAATGGCTTACTACTGACACAGGAAGCAGATTCCAAGCAGAATGGTTTCAACGACCCAGCCTTTTCACTCTTCTATTAAAATGGAAAAAAGCAGACTAAAAATCAATCCTCTTGATACTTAAGTGGCAAGCTTTTCTCCATGAGATTAAATCTGTCTTTCACATTAACTACTTCCTGATCTGCCATTAATTAGAGCCTACATCTGGAAACTCTCCATTTGAAGAAAGAATGGCCAGCTTTATTGAGTCAAAGAAGCCTATATCCCAAAGCAAATGAGGTGTCAACATTCTCTTAACAACAATTAAAAAGGCTTTGTGGCCAGGCGCGGTGGCTCACGCCTTTAATCCCAACACTTTGGGAGGCTGAGGTGGGTGGATCACCTGAGGTCAGGAGTTAGAGACCAGCCTGACCAATGTGGTAAAATCCCATCTCTACTAAAACTATAGAAATTAGTCAGGCGTGGTGGCACATGCCTATAGTCCCAGCTACTCGGGAGGCTGAGGCAGGAGAATCACTTGAACCCAGAAGGCAGAGGGTGCAATGAGCAGAGATCGAGCTACTGCACGCTAGCCTGCTGGGTGACACAGTGAGACTCCGTCTCAAAAAAAAAAAAAAATAAAAAGACTTTGTACATGAACATCAGATAATCCTAAAGGAAACGAGGGACCCGTTAGAAGGTACTCACCTTCAAGAAGTCTACAGTGAAGACAGGAAGAGATACATGGGTATCAGAAGGCATCAGAACTAGTTGCCATTTGGAAAAGGATTTGTTTTGTATAATTCAGTTCAAGTCAGAACAAGCTATCCTCACCCTTTAAATGGTCTTAAATAATAAATGCCAAATGAGGTGGAAGACCTAAAGAACTGAGTATCATTTCATTAAAATCCATTACTTCATGCCTGTAATCCCAACACTTTGGGAGGCTAAGGCAGGAGGATTGCATGAGGTCAGGAATTTGAGACCAGCCTGGGCAACACAGCAGAGACCCCCATCTCTACAAAAAATAAAAATATTAGCTGGCCATGGTGGTATCTGTCTGTAGTCCAAGCTACTTGGGAGGCTGAGGTGGGCAGATCTCTTGAGCCCAGGAGTTCGAGATCAGCCTGGGCAACATGGTGAAACCTTGTCTCTACCTCCTCCCCTTAAAAAAAGAAAAGAAAACTTCAGATTGATGTCTAGAGTGAATGCTCACTTCTTCTGCCAGCTTAATATTTTTACTATTAAAAAAAAATTAAATGGCCGGGCGCGGTGGCTCAAGCCTGTAATCCCAGCACTTTGGTAGGCCGAGGCGGGTGGATCACGAGGTCAAGAGATCGAGACCAACCTGGTCAACATGGTGAAACCCCGTCTCTACTAAAAAATACAAAAAACTAGCTGGGCATGGTGGCGCGTGCCTGTAATCCCAGCTACTCAGGAGGTTGAGGCAGGAGAATTGCCTGAACCCAGGAGACGGAGGTTGCGGTGAGCCGAGATCGGGCCATTGCACTCCAGCCTGGGTAGCAAGAGTGAAACTCCGTCTCCAGGCTTCAGTTCAAGAGATTCAAAAAAAAAAAAATTAAATTGGTTCTTCTAGAAAAGGGCTAGAAATTGCTGGTATGAAAAAGGAGCCAGGAATCAGAAATATTTATATTCATTAATACTTTGTTCTACCCAGGAAAATTAAACCATTATAATTACAAAAACTATTATAATTATGAGAAAGTTTTTTTGAGACGAAGTCTCGCTCTGTCACCCAGGCTGGAATGCAGTGGTGTGATCCTGGCTCACTGCAACCTCCGTCTCCCGGGTTCAAGAGATTCTCCTGCCTCAGCCTCCCAAGTAGCTGGGATTACAGGCACATGCTACCACTCCTGGCTAACTTTTTATATTTGTAGTAGAGACGGGGTTTCACCATGTTAACCAGGATGGTCTCGATCTCCTGATCTCGTGATCTGCCCACCTCAGCCTCCCAAAGTGTCGGGATTACAGGCATGAGCCACCGCGCCTGGCCAGTTTTTCTATTTAGTAGTAGTGGAAATAAACATGTTGATAACTAATTTATCACCCAAAGAGATATTCTGTGCACTGAGTATCATGCATGGAAGAAAAAATAAAAAATGAAAAGCAATCTTAGGCTGAAAGGTAGAGACTAAGTACTTTTATTACAAAACAGACACACTAGGAATAACAGTAGTCATGCCTACCTGATAAAAAAATATTTGCACAAATATGCTGACTTTAACTACCAGAAGTTTACATAGTACATAGACGGTACATAATAGGTATATACATTTATGGGGTACATGAGATGTGTTGACACAGGCATGCAAAGTGAAATAATCACAACATAGAGAATGGGGTATCCATCCCCTCAAGCGTTTATCCTTAGTGTTACAAACAATCCAATTACCCTCTTTATTTTAAAATGTACAATTAAATTATGGTTGACTGTAGTCACACTGCTGTGCTATCAAACAGGTCTTATCATTCTTGCTATTTTTTTCCCCACCTTCCGTCCAGGTCCCCACTACCCTTCCCAGCCTCTGTCAACCATCTTGGGGCCCTTTATCATGCCTTTTTCCAAAAACATGCAGCCAATATAGACTTTTCTCTATTGACTCTAAACAGAAGTGCGTTCATTCCATTTTTAGAATAGTTGTACCTGACACCAGCTTGTGTATGGCTCACAGTAGTGTCGGAGCTGTGAGATGCTTTCTTCAAGTGGGCTCCTTGACTCCTCCACATACTTCGATTGACCTTTGGGAACTGAGTAGAGTGAAAGCTGTGCATATTAAAACAAAACAAAGATTTAAAAGATGTACTGTTTATGGGATAAATTTATCAACTTTGTAAGTATTTAATATTTCTAATAATTCATGAATTATAGTGACTCTGCAGTCAGGCATGGTGGCTCATGTGTGTAATCCCAGCACTTTGAGAGGCCAAGACAGATGGATCACTTGAGGTCAGGAGTTTAAGACCAGCCTCGGCAACATGGCAAAACCCCCTCTCTACTAAAAATACAAAAATTAGCCGGGTGTGGCGGCACACGCCTGTAATCCCAGCTACTTGGGTGGCTGAGGCAGGAGAATTGTTTAAACCTGGAAGGTGGAGGTAGTGATGAGCCAAGATGGTACCACTGTACTCCAGCCTGGGCAAAAGAGCGAGACTCCAACTCGAAAATAAATAATAATTAATAAATTCCAGTGACTCTAAGGGTTATGTGAAACCTGAACTTGACCTCAAACTATCTGTGCACCTTATTTCCTTAATCAACCAGGCCAAGGCCGAAAGGGCAAGGCTATGAGGTGTCCTACCCTCTCCCCACCTACTGAATGCAAACAAAGCAGCTCCTCTTTATCCATGTTATATACTGGTATTTGGTATTCCACCTTAGATTGAGTTTGGAAAAAGGATTCTATTCCTCTAAAGGGTAGGTGAAGGGGTTACAAAAGCTTGAGAGTAACCGAAGGGCATGTCACTCAGTTCAAATGATTGGTCTGTGGTTAATCAAAGCAGGACACCAGGTTTGTTCCCCACCCAGAGAACTTCTCACAGCCACTGCTGGCTGCCTTCTTCACCCTCAAAAATGCCACTGTGCCAAGGCCTGAGAAGAGAGTAAAGGTCAAAAGATAAGCTAATTAGCTTTATGTAAACACCAATCAAGTAACCCTATCCAGGACTGAAGGCAGATCCTTACCTCACTGTATTCAAAGGCAACAGAAACTAAATATCCAAAATAATTAGTGGGAAGTACAGACCAAAAAGGAATGTAAACAGTAGAGAGAAGATTTCTTTTTTTTTTTAAATTTAGTATTTATTAAGTATATACTTATGAGCGTCTCCTCCAGCCAAGAAACAGAAAGGATCCAGATCTCTAATTTCTTAGAGAGGAAAAAATGTGAATATCTTCTTGGCTTGATAAAAATCAAGATAAGCCAAGAATCAGGCAGACCACTTAGAAAAGTGAGCTGTGCGTATAAACCTATTGGGACAAAGTGGATTCCCGAGTAAACATTTATAAAGAATTCCTTAATTGTGCCCTTAGCTAAGTACCATTAAAGTTTATCTATTGAAAAAGCAATAGTTTATTAATTTCCCACAAATTAAACCAACTACAAGGAAATATATTTTCTCCATTTAAATGTCTTTTGGCCAGGCAAGGTGTTTCACACCTGTAATCCCAGTACTTTGGGAGGCCGAGGCGAGTGGATCGCCTGAGGTCAGAATTTCAAAACCAGCCTGGCCAACATGGTGAAACTTTGTCTCTACTAAAAATACAAAATTAGCCAGGCGTGGTGGCACATGCCTGTAACCCCAGCTACTTGGGAGGTTGAGGCAGGAGAATCGCTTGAACCCAGGAGGCAGAGGTTGCAGTGAGCCGAGATCGTACCATTGCACTCTAGCCTGGGCAACAAGAGTGAAACTCCATCTCAAAAAAACAAATAAATAAATGTCTTTTAAACAGTCACATCTTTCTGATATACAATTTGTAAAAAATTCTCCAAGAGTAACTAAATCAGACACTCAGAATATACCACAACATAAACAGCATGTTACCTCATCAACCTTCACAGAATTTTTGGGAGGTGAGTCCTTTTTTGGTACAGCATAGACTTTGAAGGTGAGCAAGCTCAGGCTGGCCGGCCCCACGGACCTCTGAATTACCTGAAATGCAGAAGCAATCTTAAACCTTCTCTCTATGTTACAGACCAAATGTGCAAAATGTTAGCATATTCATAACCTCAGCCACTTTCCACCATGAAAGGCTTACTGTGCTTTATTTTATTTTTACATTTTCGAGATGGAGTCTTGCTCTGTCACCCAGGCTGGAGTGCAGTGGCATGGCCTCAGCTCACTGCAACCTCTGCCTCCCAAGTTCAAGCGATTCTCCTACCTTAGCTTCTCAAGTAGCTGGGATTATAAGCGTCTGCCAACATGCCCAGCTAATTATTTTATTTTTAGTAGAGATGGGGTTTTGCCATGTTGGCCAGACTGGTCTCGAACTCCCAACCTCAGGCTTGGCCTCCCAAAGTGTTGGGATTACAGGCGTGACCCACTGTGCCCAGCCTACAAAATATATTTTTAAAAAATTAGCCAGGCGTGGTGGTGTATGCCTGTAGTGCCAGCTACTCAGGAGACTGAGGTGGGAGAACCTTTTGAGTTTAAGGCTGCAATGAGCCATGATCATGCCACTACACTCCAGCCTGGGTGATGGAGTGAGACTCTGTTTCACACACACAAAATGATTGCTCCATTAAAAAAAAAAAAAGATTAGCTGAGAAGAGGGGAGAGCTATGGGTTTTTAAATTTAAACTGTGAATATAAAAAAATCAGACCCCTCCTGTGAAGGTTGTGACAGTTTTCTAGGAGGGATATTGATCAACTTAGGTTGTATCCTGGTGCTGCTGGTTCTGCCTAATAATTGTGATAGACACAAACCACATGGACGAATGTCAGCACTAGCTGGCTAATCTTTACCACAGAAGCAAAAGAAATCTGTAGCAATAGGCCAGGTGCAATGTCATGTCTGTAATCTCAGTACTTTGGGAGGCTGAGGTAGGCGGATCATGAGGTCAGGAGATAGAGACCATCCTGGCCAGCATGGTGAAACCCAGTCTCTACTAAAATACAAAACAATTAGCCAGGCATGATGGCACGTGCCTGTAGTCCCAGCTACTTGGGAGGCTGAGGCAGGAGAATTGCTTGAACCCGGGATCCGGAGGTTGCAGTGAGTCAAGATTGCGCCACTGCATTCCAGCCTGGCGACAGAGCGAGACTCCGTCTCAAAAAAATAAAAAAGAAAAAGAAATCTATAGCAATATTGCCTTGAAATTATGACCTCAAGATGCACACTTAATACTTGAAGATTTATCAATTATTTTAAACCAGTTAAAGTCATAACCACTTTTTTTAAATGGCTTTCAACTCTTTGCTTCTGAAATATGGGAATTTCCAGGCATACGTTTTAACAGACATTTTTGTTATATTTTAGCTTGCATTATGTTTTGTCTTACAGAATAGCCTAGTCTTTCACATTATAGGTACTGCAAATCTCAGTAATATGATTTCCAAGATGCTAAATCATGCCTAAATTGAGAGAAATCAATCGCTCATTTATTTTCCACCTCTCCTCCATCCATTTCCTTTGTCTCATTCGAGCAGGAAATAAACAATTATTGAGCATGTCTTGTGTGTTAGGCACAGCCGGCATACGGAGTAAGACATATCCTCACCCTGAAAGGGCTTCCAATCTGATAGGAAGAACTTGATAGATGTAAGTAAATAGACAATTTTTTTTTTAAGAGATGGGGTTTCACCGTGTTGGTCAGGAGGCTGGTCTCGAACTCCTAACCTCGTGATCCGCCCAACTCAGCCTACCAAAGTGCTGGGATTACAGGCATGAGCCACCATGCCTGGCCGACAATTTTTTTTTTTAAAGCAGGGTTTCACACTGCGGCTTAGGCTGGAGTGCAGTGGCAGGATCTCTGCTCACTGTAACCTCCTAGTCCCAGGCTCAAGCATTCCTCCTGTCTCAGTCTCCCAAGTAGCTGGGACTACAGGCATGCACCACCATGCCCAGCTAATTTTTGTATTTTTTTGTAGACAGGTTTTGCCATGTTGTCCAAGCTGATCTTGAACTCCTGGACTCAAATGATCCACCCACCTCAACCTCCCAAAGTGCTGGGATTATAGGCATGAGCCACTGCACTTGGCCTAGGACAAATTAAAAAATAAAATAAGGGAGACTGAGGCACAAGAATCGCTTGAGCCCAGAAGGTGGGAAATTGCAGTAAGCCAAGATGGTGCCATTGCACTCCAGCCTGGGTGACATAGTGAGACCCTGTCTCAAAAAATAAATAAATAAAATAAAAGTGATACGGGAGGTAGGGCAGGGAAATGCTGGGCAGAGAAGGGCATGGTCCCTGGCTAGGGCTCCACCTCTGGGCCTGGCCACCAACCTAGGTGAAGGCAGGCATTTTTGTTTTTGTGCCCCCCAAATGTTGCATTTCCTAAGACCACCCTGGCTCACCACGCCCCATCCTGTGCCTATGATAGACACAAGTGACTGGACACTGACAGAAGAGCATATGAGCAGCTGGAGGTCAAGAGAAGCAGAGGCGTGGAAGAACACACCCGCAGAAGAACACACTAACAAACTCCAGCAGGCCACCAACAGCAGAATGGCAGGACAATGCGGAGTTCGGCTGAGGGTGGTAGGAGAGCCCAGCCACTAAGCAGGCCTGACTCCAGGGGAAAACCACCTTCCCACTCCGTACCCCTTCTGGCTCCACATTCATCTGCTGAGAGCTACTTCTACCATTCAATAAAACCTTGCACTAATTCCCCAAGCCCACATGTGATCCAATTTTTCCAGTATACTCAGGCAAGAACCCCAGGATACAGAAAGCCCTCTGTCCTTGCGATAAGGTAGACTGTCTAATTCAGTTGATTAACACAAGCTGCCTACTGATGGCAAAATTAAAAGAGCACATGGTACCAGACGCCCACTGGGGTTTCAGGAGCTGTAAACATCCACCCCTAGACGCTGCCATGGAGTTGGAGCCCACACTCCCCACGACCTGCCCGTCTGCCTGCTTTCCCTAGAGGTTTTGAGCAGTGGGGCACCTGAGAAGTGAGCCACACCCCCACTGCATGCCCCGTATGAGTGACAAGGGAAATTTTCCTGTTTCAAAAGCATGAATTTTCCCTGCTCTTAGGCAGTTCTACAGAAAGGCAAAACAAGTATAGAACATTACAGACTGATGAATAAGCATGTGTGAAGCCATGAAGCTGGGAAACACCATGGGAGAAATACAGGGAGTCCGAGTTTTGTGGGAGGGGGCAGAGTGACAGGGAGATGAGTTAGAGAAGTTGGTTGTAGCCAGATCATAATGGGCCTCGCGTGGCTCACATAAAGTCCTAGGTAATAAATACCAAAAGATCTCAAATAAGGGGATAGAATATAGAATCAAGTTTGCCGTTTAGAAAGATCATGATTTCTCAGTGTGGTGGTTTGAGTCATTAAAGGGCCAGATGACCAGTTATGGTGCTGCTAAAACAATGCAGGAAAGCAATGAGGGCCCAAGGAAAGATTGCACAGGAGAGGAGAAAGAAGAGAAAGTGGAATTGAGACAGTTTAATAGGCAGAATTAGCAGGACTTAGTGACCAATGGGAAAGGAGGGGTGACGATCACCTTGGTTTCTTTTTTTAATTAATTTTTATTTATTTTTAAATTAATTTTGAAACTGACAAGATTCACATATATATTTATCGTGTACAACATGCTGTTTTGAAATATGTATACATTGAGGAATGGCTAAATTGAGCTAATTAACATATGCATTACCTCACAAATTTATTTTTGTGGAATCTAAAAAAGTTCAACTAATGGAAGTAGGGAACACCATGGTAGCTACCAGGGACAGCGGCTGGGGGGAAGTCAGGGAGATCTTGGTCAAAGGTACAAAGTTTCAGTTAGAAAGGAGGAGTGGTTCAAGAGAGCTGCTGTATTACACGGTGACTATAGTTAATAGCAATGTATTGTAGTCTTGAAAATCAGGAAGAGTCGATTTTAAGTGACCTTGGAGTTTCTGATGGGTTTTTCTAGTTTGGTGGTGACACAGCATTCCTGAGAGAGGAAGTAGAGAAGGAGGGGCAAGTCTGAGGGAAAGACGATGAGTTGGTTTTGGATATTTTCCAGAGACAGACAGACAGCTAGAGGTCTAGTCATCTATCTATACATCTTTTATTTTACTTGAAAAGCTAAGTAGACAAACTTAGAAACTCTTGTCTTTTGGAAATTAAGACAAAGTTGACTTGAAATTTTAAGTACATGAGAACATGTTTTTGGGATCTGGACTTCCTCAGCACTTCAAGGGTGCATTTATTTCTCATAAAGCACAGTAAGGATGGGCACGGTGGCTCACGCCTATAATCCCAACACTTTGGGAGGCTGAGGCGGGCAGATTACCTGAGGTCAGGAGTTTGAGACCAGCCTGGCCAATATGTTGAAACTCAATCTCTACTAAAAATACAAAAATTAGCCAGGAGTGTTGGCAGACGCCTGCAATCCCAGCTACTCCGGAGGCTGCGGCAGGAGAATTGCTTGAACCTGAACCTGGGCGGCGGAGGCTGCAGTGACCCGACATCGTGCTACTGCATTCCAGCCTGGCCAAACACACATCTATATATTAGTAGAGATAGGGTCTCACCAGGTTGCTCAAGCTGGTCTCGAACTCCTGGGCTCAAGCAATCCTCCCACCTTGACCTCCCAAAGTGCTGGGATTACAGGCATGAGCCACTGCACCTAGCCTTCCAGCTCTTTTTAAAGACACCAAGCTGTCTAAGGCTGAGCCACCCAAGAGTTCTCTACAGTACCCAAGTGGTTCCCTCCCAGAGCCCTCATCAGAGGCTTGTAAGGCTGCTAGCATCTGGAGGCGCCAATTCATTGCTATCTGCTTTCTAGGTCTGCCCAGGACCAACAGACCACGCTGCTTCTACTAAGAACTCTCCACGGAGGCAGGAGGCAAGCCAGCCCCACCCCAGGACTTTGTTTCCAACTTCCCTCCTTTAGGTGCCCAAGCTGGTGCCCCGCCCCCCTCCACTCCCTCAGTTAGCCTCTATTGGTTTCACAGTGTCCTCTTCATCCTCATTTTTATATACT